TGTTTGAGTTAGAGAAATGGTTAATGAAATGGAAAATAAAGCTAAACACGGATAAAACGCGACATATCATTTTCACTACAAGAAAGAAAAACTGTCCTACTGTATTTATAAACAACGTGGAAATATTGACTTGCACCAGCGTTAAATACTTAGGTTTACATCTGGACCGCAAACTAACATGGAATATTCACATAAAACAAAAAAGGAAGCAAATTATGGATAAATTTAGACAACTCTACTGGCTAATAGGAAGAAAATCTAAAATGTCATACAACAATAAATTACTAATATATAAGTCAGTAATTATACCGATATGGACGTATGGTATTCAACTATGGGGATGTGCAAGCACGTCCAGCATAAAGATTATCCAACGAACTCAAAATAAAATTTTAAGAGCAATAGTTAATGCACCATGGTACGTGTCGAATAATACTATTCATTCAGATTTGAACATACTGACCGTAAAAGAAGTAATTCAGCAAAGAAGCAATTCATACCACATGAAATTAGACCAACATCCAAATCCAGCCATGCAATTGATCAAAAATCATGATCCAACTAGAAGGCTCAAAAGAAAATGGCCAGAAGATCTACTAACTTAATTTTAGCTCTGTTATATTACTAACATAGATTATTCATTAACATAGATATATTATTTACTTAGATATAATTTATTAACATTGATTTATTTTATTAACATAGATTATCTACAGGGGAATCTCTTCAGTGGAAGATACCTCTAATTGTCATACTTAATGGATCACATAGACTCATAGAAATTGTATTTCTGATTGTCTATAATAAATAAAGAAAAAAAAAAAAAAAAAAAATTTATATTAAAACATACCTGGATATCTCCTAATTGTTTCCCCTCGCGGTCGCTCCATAGAATGCCCGGACCTCTGTATGTATGTTGTAGGAAAAGGAAAGGTTTCACCAGCTGCATCTTCGGGAATAAGAAAAAACTTACTATTCTTTATCATTCCACCCACATATATTGCAGATGATACAAAACATTAATTTACATATTGACGTTAACATATACCTGTAGGTCTTGGCCTTTGGCTTGGTTCCTTGGCCCTTTGCTCCGTATTTAGGGGCGTTTGTGATGTTTCTTCGGGCAGGGGGGGTTTTGAACCGATAAGAGACCTTCTATAAGCCCTATATGGAGCCCATATGGCTCCTGAGGGTATTCTCGAAGGTACTCCACTCCTTGATTGTAAGAACTTGAATCTGAAACCAGAATGGACGATGATGATAATATAATACAAGAATTCAATTTTTATCTTTTCACAACTCGCTTAAGGAAAAATATCACTTGGGCCTAGTTAGTGATGCTCACCGTGCATATCCAAGCCTAATTATAAGTAAAAATGTATGAGAAAGCGTTGTGTTAGGTAAGGACGACATGGCAAATACACGTGATTTATTTAAAATTTGAACTATTATTTGTCGAAAATAACTGGTATGGATTTATTGCCACCATTTTGAAAGTTGCTGCATCTCAATATTCATTGACCAAGTCAATTATTTGCACACTTTTAGCAATTTTTCTTAAGGGGCACACCTAGTGTGAAATTTTTAAAAAATCGAATTTTCAATTTTTTCATAATTCGATAGGTTATGCCTTTAAAAATACCATTCAAAAATTTTAAATCGATACCTTGAATAGTTTTTGAGTCATAGCCATTTAAAGAGTATATATACAGTATATAGTACACAGATCGTTTTATCTTTAAATGCTTTTTTCTCGAAACAGCATTTTCCGAATTTGCTGCAGTGATTACTCAAAAACAAATGATCCGATCACTATCGAATTTTTTTTACATGTTCTATATATAGCTCTCCGTAAAATGATCGGATCAAAAATCGAATTTTGGCAGTCCAAAAACGACCAAAATTTTGGGTAAAATTCGACTTTTTTAAAACGCCGCCGTTTTGTCAATTTTTGATTATTTTTTTTATGGTAGGTCATTTTACAGACAATATTATCTAGTTTAACGAGATTTTTTTTTTAAATTTCATTCATGTAGAAGGCTGGAATCACTGCAGCAGTGAAGGGCCTTTTTTCGCGCCGTTGGAGATCGACGATAACTTAAAAAATATTTAATTTTTTTCTTCAAAACTTATACTATGAATTCTTAAAACATGTGTAAAATATGTTCTTAAAATTTTGAAATGATGAAGCATTTTGTTTAATATAATTTCCCAAAAATCACCTTTTTTTTAGGCGGTTACACTAGGCTGTGCCCCTTAAGGGGTTATTCTACTCAGTGCTGGATTTACAGTAGGGGCAGTCGGGGCTACTGCCCAGGGCGGCAAATTTTTGGGGGCGGCAAAATTTGGATAGTGAGAAGAAAATTCTATACCATACTAGCAAACCCGACGAACTTCGTTTCGCCACCAGATGGTTTCGTGAGAAAGATGAAGAAATTTTTTGTTTTTTTTATATTTTAAAAGGAAAAATTTGATTTTATTATACAACAGTAACGAATTTATTTTGATTACAAAAATGAAGTGTTTTTTAGTTGAACTTCTCTACGTAAACGAAAGTGAATCCGCAAATTATCCATTTATGGAAGTGATCTTTGGTAAACCACATATTTTGTTTTTCGGTCAGACGTTAACACAAACAAAGCGGATGGTTTTCCAACTCGTGAACAGGCAACGTATAACTGCTCATGCGAAAAACAATGATTTTCTAAATGATCTATTTGAAATTTATCCCGCAAACACTAAGCGACTGGCCTTGCGACTTGTTATTGCGAACGCAAGGCGAACTGGAAATTGCAATCGTTTGAAGTCAATCGGAAGACCAGTCAGAATCATTGGTATGTCACCAAATCGCCAGCAATTTTTGATTGAATGGTGAAATTCAGTGCGTGTACATAATTATTCTTTGCGGCAAGAATTGCTCGTTGACTTAACCAAGCATAATTCTGATAATTCTCACTAATGTTATTAATCGAATTTATAATTACGGTGCGTGAAGTTCCAGCAGCTTGCATTAAAGCACGATGCCATGCACAACTAATTTTCTTTGCTACAAACCTTGCGGAGCCCGAGACCTTTCCAACAAATGCAAAGTTATCGAAATCGGTTTGTGCGTTCTGGAGTTATTTCGTCAGGAAGGAAAACCCGACTTATTTTTATATATATAGAAGATAATTAACTTATTTTTTTAATAACATTTTTAATTTCAAGAAATATAATTAACAAAACATTATGCAAATGCAATGCAAAATTTCGCAATTTGGCTAATATAAAGATTCGTAAGTGAGTTGAAAGTTTAAGAAAAATATGTTCTTCAGATCTCGAGCCCTCTTAAAATAACGAATTCGTGCACTTCCAAGCTCATAGCGCCGAAAAAAATTAAATTAGTGATGCATGGCATTGTGCCTTACGGCAAGTTATTGAAACTTTTCGTACTGCAATTACATTTTATAAAAAGCTTTAAAATTTGTTGATAAATGATAAAAGTTGAATTAAAAAAAATGTATATTTCGAAATTTTTTGAAAATTATTAAGTTTTATTTATTGAACTTATTGAAATTAAATTTTATTTGAATAATTCGATTTCTATTGATAGCGAGACGTGCTGATTAGTTATTGGCCAAGACGGGTTTTCGGAACTGTTTCGGAAGTACGGGCCAAAATGCCAAAAATAATAATTCATTTTTTGAGAAACTAAACGTCCAATATCATTAAAATAAATTTACATATATAGACAAAATGGAGAACTGATTAAATTTGTGGGAGGCAGGTCTAGCGGTTTCAGTGATCCAATAAAAAAATTTGAAAGAGAAACATTTGGCGGTCAAGAATGATCATTAGCCATATGCACATCAAATTATCAGATATTTTAATAATATAAATTTTGTTATATTTTTATGGGTTCTGTAAAATTATTTATCTGTCATTCTGCTTCTTTACGCAGCTAAAGCAAGGCGATGGCTTTAAATTTTTTTTTTAAATTTTAATTCTTGGTACGGGAAGTTTCAGCAATTTATGCCAAGCACCACTATGAACACTATGTAATGCGTAATAAATTTTCTGCAATCAAATAGTTATTTTAATTTTAGAAAAATGATATATATATATAAACTATTTTAAAATAAAAATTTAGGGATGGGGCGGCATTTTTGTCAGCGCCCCAGGGCGCCAAATTTCTAAATCCGGTCCTGATTCTACTGTAGAAGCATGAATTTTGCCCGGTTTTTGAAGCGCTGTATAAAGGAATCAATATTTTTACTATCGATTTTTTTATCATTTGTTTATTGATATTTTATTATTACATAAAAAAAAATATCAAAGAAAAAACATTAGAATTCACAAAGTTATGAGCAGTCGAAGTGGGGGCTCAAAATAAAAGAGGGTGTCCTGGCGTGCATGATTCCAACCCTCCTGGTGATCCGAAACATAAAAAATAGATGGATTATTAATTATTACAGATGCCGCTATCGTATGAACCTTGGATAAGTTAAAAAAAGAAATTTTTGTTTGAATGGCGGCAGTTTGAAAAAAAAAATTTTTTTCATGTTTTTTTTTAACAATTCCGAATTTTTTAAAAATACTAAATGAAAAGTTATAGTTTTGGGAAAGGTCTATGCATTAAAGCGATGTATAGAGAAGATCCTCTCCAAATTTGAAGTAAATCGGTTCATTAGAACTCGAGATATCCTTACCGCCAGCTCGAAAAAAGTAGTTCCAAGAAAAACGCGTTCAAAGTTTTGAGACTCGGTCGGACCCAAACCGAGGCCACGTCACTAAAACGGCTATAACACAGGAAATAATAGTAATTTTGAAAAATCCTTTTAATGACATATTTTTGCATAACTCAACTTTGAAAATATGAAAAAAAAATCGATTTTTTCCAAATTCTACAGTAGAATACCCCCTTAAGACAAAACGAAAAATGTAAGGGATCTCCTCTTCTATACAGAGATCACTTATTAAAATGTACATTTTACCCAGGTATTACAGTAAATATTTATTACTCACACAGAAGATCTATCCTCTTCGTCAAGCTTTGCTGAAAATTTGGTTAATATTTCTAAAAATGGTAACCGATCTGGAGGCACATTCGGGCTATCACTTTGTCCAACCGCAAACAAAATTCCAGCCTCGTGCAGCTTGCCTACTGCTTGTCGATTTTTCAGTTTGTTTGTGCCCAAGAACTTTGCTAGATGTGCGGCCAAAGTCTGAGTGAAATAAAAAAAGTGAAGTAAAACTTATTTGCTATTGTACAAGATGGCATTTAAGAAAAAATAAATACATCGTATAACGATTTTGAATAATGTTTATCAGTAATATGGTAACACTAGTGATGCACACATTTATTAGTGTCAGCCATTATACATCTATATATCTATAATGGCATTAAAAATATGTATAATATTTGAAAACAATAATGTAATTCAAGTCATACTTCAAATATGACATGATCGGTTTGTCGGTTCTTCATTAGAGAAATGAAGTAATTGCTGATTAATAAATTCTATGATATTCTCGTTCACACAGTGGATTCTGTTAAACAACGCCTAAACAAATATTGTTTTTGCAACTTCACTCACTCATCATTTAATAATTGTGTTTGAAGAACTTCATGTAATTAAAATTAACATACATTCATTTACGGCTTGTATTTTTTTACTTTTTTGCTGGCGATATACTATTATTCTTTGAACAGTTGTAATATCTGCCTTGCCTAAAAATATTTTCCATTTTAATAACTACAAAGATTTATAGAAACTACGAATAATATAGAAATAATTTCTTAGCAAGAAACAAATGTATAATTTGTTTTAATATTTTCAAAAAACAAGGTAAAATATTCTTCCGATACTGGCATTTTTCATTAAATCAAGATTTGTACTACGATGTAACTTTAAAATGTTTATTTATCTATGTCGATTTCCTTGTTGATATGGGTACATATACAACGACGGATTTATACCCTAGTCGCGCCTAAAGAAGTTTTACTTCAAAAAGAAGTAAATAAAATCAATACGTCGGTTTCAACCTGTGAGGTTTTGCGAAAGGTGGTAAAAATTGGCAAAGTACTATTTACGAATACAAAAACCAACAAGTGGAACGCATGGCATCGTGCATTAAGGCAAATTGCTGGAACTTCCCGTACTAAAAATTATTTTTATTTAAAAAACGATTAACATTTTTGAAAAAAACATTACTTCGAAAAAATTAGATTTTTGAGAAACTATAAATTTGACAGAGAATTACTTTTTTTAAAAAAATTGTTTTTTGAAAAAAAATGTTTTCTTTATTTTGACATATTTTGGAAATTTTGAACTTTTTTTCAAAGCAATCGTACTGCTTTAATTGCATAGATACGAAATATCGAAGCGCGTAAGCGTCGCGCCGCCGTCTAACGGATAAACATTGATACGGAACCCATAGGAATGCAAACAAAATTTAAACTTATTGTTAAAATCTATATAAAATATCTGATAATTTGATGTGCATATGTCTCATGATCATTTTTGACCGCCAAATGGCATTTTTTTACTTTTTTCATTAGATCTCCGAAACCGCTAGACCTGCCTTCATGAAAATTCTTGCAGTTCTTCATCTTATCAATACAAGTAAGACGTTTTTTGAATTGTTAACATTGGACGCTCCGTTCTCTTAAAAACTGAGTTACCATTTTTGGAACATTTTGCCCTATATTTTCGGAACGGCTAGACCTGCCTTCGCCAAAAACTAATCCGCACGTCTCCTTATCAATACGAATCAAATGTTTTTTCAATTATTCAAATCGCTTCATCCGTGTTCCCGAAATCGTCGACGAAAATTTGTATCCGCATACACGCACACACGCACACACGCACACACACACACACATACATACACACACATACATTAATTTTTTCTAAGGTATGCCAAAATGTTCAGAAGGTTTTGCAACGTAAAGAATATAAAAATGTTCATTTTAGATTTTTTTGCGATTACTATAACTTGCCCAACGGGAAGTTAAAAAAAAAAAGTGAATTGGAGTAAACAATAAATTATACTTCTAATTGGACCTCCAGAAGTTAAACGTTTGGAGTTACCATAGATAAATATTAAAAAAAAAATGTTTCCAAAATTTAGTAAATATGAATATAAATCAAGTTCTTCAATTCTGAAAAATCGAAAATAAATTTTTTTGCATTTTTCGACGTTTTGAAGGTTTCTGAATTTTGATGTGTGTGTAGGTGTGTGTGTGTTTTGTATGACCGTATTATTTCGTCCACATTTTCGGGCGCACGGATCAACCGATTTGAATGGTTTAAAAACATTCGATCCCTATTAATAGGGAGATGTGCTGATTAGTTTTTGGCAAAGGCAGGTCCAGCCGTTACGAAGATACGGAGCAAAGAGTGCAGAAAATAGAAATCGAGTTTTTGAGAGAATGGAGTATCCGATTTGAATGATCTAAAAAACATTCAATTTGTAATGATTGGGAAAAGAGGTGATTCGTTTTTGGCAAGGACAGGTCCCGCCATTTCGGAGATACAGAGCTAAACGTGCAAAAAATAGCATTTTTTGAGTGAACTAAGAAGCGTCCGATTTGAATGATATAAAAAACTTTCTGCTTGTATTGACAAAACAATTGCTTTTGAAGATAAACAAATATTACATGTTTTTTTATTTTTCATAAAATATTTTTGTAATTTTGGATTATAAATTGAAAAAATGACCCAGTCTAAGCACAGTCTAAGCGCCACTCTGGTACAAATGTTTACACAAGTGTGTTTAGACTGTTTATGTACTGGAGCACATTTCCAATTTTGTGAAAACGAAAACTATTGAAAAATGTGAAAATGCCGCCAAACTAAGCACAGTATAAGTGAAAATGTCGCACAGAATTATCTGAAAATGCACAGAAGACTGACTATACGGGAGCACTTTTTCAATTTTGTGCCAATTAATTAGGGAACTATTTTTTTGAAATTGAATTCAAAATAAAATGACGATTGTTAATGTTCAGATTTGCTCATATATAACAAGATAGCAAAAATAATGAAAGTTACAGTATTTGTAATAATTAAATATTTGAAAACGTTTAAAATTTCTCGAATATTTCATTACGGTACGAGAAATTCCAGCAATTTGCCTTAAGGCACGATGCCATGTGCACCACTAGTTTGTTTCATAAATTACACACATTACACAGAATAAATACCTTTAGCTGCACAAATCCTTCGACAGTTTTATTAAGCACATCGCCAGCACATGAACCCTCCACCTGCACATAAATTTTCGCCAAACTCAGGAACATGACCATGGTGCAATTTGTCCTGCTGAGGCTGCCCATCGTGGCGACCATTTTCTTTATGATATCTCCATAGCATTTTTCACACTGAAAAATACAATAATGTTGAATTAAATTGATCTATTTTCTTACACACAACACTTATACACAATATACTAATAAGTATGGTAAGGAAAATGCATAAAGCGGTGATGTGAATAATAAACAAAACTAGTTGGTTTGGTATTTAGCCTTGAGGCAAATTACATGAACTTCCCGATATGTGTAAATAATCGACTTAATCAAAAAAAGTGTAAATAATATACTTCATCAATCCTGCTTTAAAAAAAAACGATAATAATTTTAGCAAAGTTTGACGAATTTTTAAAATTAAACTACTTGTTGTAAGGCCGTAATATTACAGTAAGTTCTATAAGACCATGATGTATATCGCCAAAAAAAGTTCCATGAAAAAAGGCTTAAATTTTTTTTTAACAGTTAATTACAAGAAAACGGCTCGGTAGATTTTCACCTAAAATTAATCAGTATCATTCCCAACCAATATCTTTCGAACAGTTTTTGATTTTTTAAAATCGGTTCGGTAGAATGAGCTTAAATGTGGACGAAAATTTAACACTTTTTTTCAACAGTTAATTACAAGAAAACGGCTCGGTAGATTTTCATCTAAAATTAATCAGTATCATTCCCAACCAATATCTTTCGAACAGTTTTTGATTTTTTAAAATCGGTTCGGTAGAATGAGCTTAAATGTGGACGAAAATTTAACACTTTTTTTCAACAGTTAATTACAAGAAAACCGCTCGGTAGATTTTCATCTAAAATTAATCAGTATCATTCCCAACCAATATCTTTCGAACAGTTTTTGATTTTTTAAAATCGGTTCGGTAGGATGAGCTTAAATGTGGACGAAAAGTTCAACACTTTTTTTCAAATTACAAAGAAACGGCTTGGCAGATCGTTGCACAAAACTGACAAACGATAGTCCTCACCAAAATACATCAAATGGCTTTTAAATTTCTAAAATCGGTTCAGGCGTTTTTGAGAAAACGTCGAACAAAAGTCTAATTTTGACAAATGCCAAAAAGACCATACTGATTTTTGCAAACTTTGACGAATTTTTAAAGCTGGACCAGTTGTCGTAGGGCCGTAATATTTTAGTATGATCTAGAAGACTATGGTATCTATCGTCAAAAAAATAATCATAAAAATCGTCGAAATTTTTTTTTTAAAAACTTTATTACAAGAAAACGGCCCGGCCGATCTCTACCAAAAACTAATCAGCACGATTCCCAACCAATATCTTTCGAACGGTTTTTGAATTTTCAAAATCGATTCATAACTGCGGGCTAAAACGTGGACGAAAGAGTTTTCACTTCTCTGCTATTTACGAAGAAACGGTTTGGCCGATCGTCGCACAAAACTGACAAACAATAGTCCTCATCGAGATACATCGAATGGCTTTTAAATTTTTGAAATCGGTCCAGCCGTTTTTGAGAAAACGGCGATTTACGGCAAAAAATCTGTTAGTGCACACGCACACACACACACACACACACACACACACATACTTTTTCCAAATTTGTTCTCATTCGATTCAGAATGGCTTGAAACGTCGAGAAAACATAAAATTAGCGAATCGGATTTTTTGATGAAAACATAAACTTCTCCTTCGGGAAGTTAAAAAGAAGGAAAGGGGAATGATTGATTTGTGGTGCTCTCACGCCATGGACCTGCCTTCAGGCAGACTACTATTTAATAGTATTACATTGGTTCAACTAATTATACTAGGTCCTCGTAATACGTCCACTGTTTTGTTCATAAAGCTACTAAATCCATGGTCAAATACAGGTATTTTTAGGGGCAAATTATGGATTCTAAGGTAATCCTTCAAGTTTGGGAATGGCAAAGCTATAGAATATTTTACATGGCAAAATCTTTAATCTCTTGGACCTTAATAGTATTCTTTTGAATTTTTAAGCTTTTCTTTCAGAAAGATTTTGGAGACTTCGATGGGTAATTATTAGGATGTTAGCTAGTCAGTAAATTACAAAGTGGAATAGAAAGAAGTTTCAATATGCAATGAACAACTGTTATAACCTTACCTTCACATAATACTTTAAAACAAAGGATGCGCTAGTAACTGGTATGATATTAAGTTCAATAAGTTTACAAAAACGCTCCAAGACTTCACGACGTTTGTTTATTTGCACTTCATCTTCTTCGTGTCTTCCTGCAATAAGATAATAACATAATTAATTACAAAATCTTCTAATAAAATTTTTCTTTGGGCTCTCATCTTCTTCTTGCCTTTCTACAATGAGATAATTAATAACGATAACATAATTACAAAAGTCTTCTAGTAAAGTCATATTAACTTTTCTTTTACACAAACTGTGTTATGCATATAAACAAAAATCTAAACATAAATGTGATTGTTGAGTTGTGTTAGATGCATCTTTGAGTGAAAAATTCCATTTGGCATCTCAATTTATAATGGAAGCTTAAAAGTGTATCAACATGCATCACAACAAATATCAAACAACCAACTATTAAAATATGTTCAAAAACTTTCCCAGTAAAGAAATATATTACAAATCTTCAGACAATTTACAAAATTTTCATATAATCTATACCATCTTCAGACAATTTTCGCTCTGTGTCTCTTTCTATTCAACATTTTTTGTTGGCACTTGCATTAGAAGCTCCACTTCAATAAGGAATATTTAAATTAATTTTATTCTAATTATTACCTGTCCAATCTTTTGAGAAAACATACTCTTCTGCATACTTATTGATTAACATAACGTCATCCGAGCTTAGTTTTAAAACCAAATCGTGTAGTATCGGGTTTTGATGTTCGGCCAGTTCTCGATTGAAATTTGCGGCTAATGAACATATTGCAATCAAGGCCTAAAATGTTAGAAATTAATTTATTAAAAGTACAAAAAATATTTCAGCAACTTCGATAAAACCAAAATAGGTTGTAATTGTTAAAAAATCGCGAGTGCTTGCCATGTCGTCCAAACCTAACATGACGCTTTCCCATACATTTTTGATTAGACTTGGATTGGACATAGTAAGCGTTACTTCAATCAATATTTTTACTAGAAATGGTTAAAATTATGAACAAAATAAAAATCATCGCCCAATCTACTATTTATGAACCTTATTGATAATAAAATTTAACTAGTTGGTTTGGTATTTAGCCTTGAGGCAAGTTACATGAACATCCCGAAATGTGTAAATAATCGACTTAATCAAAAAAAAAAGTGTAAATAATATACTTCATTAATCCTACTTTAAAAAAAAACGATAATAATTTTAGCAAACTTTGACGAATTTTTAAAATTAAACTACTTGTTGTAAGGCCGTAATATTACAGTAAGTTCTATAAGACCATGATGTATATCGCCAAAAAAAGTTCCATGAAAAACGGCTTAATTTTTTTTTAACAGTTAATTACAAGAAAACGGCTCGGTAGATTTTCACCTAAAATTAATCAGCATCATTCCTAACTAATATCTTTCGAACAGTTTTTGATATTTTAAAATCGGTTCGGTAGGATGAACTTAAATGTCGACGAAAATTTAACACTTTTTTTCAACAATTAATTACAAGAAAACGGCTCGGTAGATTTTCACCTAAAATTAATCAGCATCATTCCCAACTAATATCTTTCGAACAGTTTTTGATTTTTCAAAATCGGTTCGGTAGGATGAGCTTAAATGTCGACGAAAATTTAACACTTTTTTTCAACAGTTAATTACAAGAAAACGGCTCGGTAGATTTTCACCTAAAATTAATCAGTATCATTCCCAACTAATATCTTTCGAACAGTTTTTGATATTTTAAAATCGGTTCGGTAGGATGAGCTTAAATGTCGACGAAAATTTAACACTTTTTTTCAACAGTTAATTAGAAGAAAACGGCTCGGTAGATTTTCACCTAAAATTAATCAGCATCATTCCCAACTAATATCTTTCGAACAGTTTTTGATTTTTTAAAATCGGTTCGGTAGGATGAGCTTAAATGTCGACGAAAATTTAACACTTTTTTTCAACAGTTAATTACAAGAAAACGGCTAGGTAGATTTTTACCTAAAATTAATCAGCATCATTCCCAACTAATTCGGTAAGATGATCGGTTCGGTAGGATGAGCTTAAATATGTACGAAAAGTTTTTTCGAATTACAAAGAAACGGCTTGTCAGATCGTTGCACAAAACTGACAAACGATAGTCCTCACCGAAATACATCAAATGGCTTTTAAATTTCTAAAATCGGTTCAGGCGTTTTTGAGAAAACGTCGATCAAAAGTCTAATTTTGACAAATGCCAAAAAGACCATACTGATTTTTGCAAACTTTGACGAATTTTTAAAGCTGAACCAGTTGTCGTAGGGCCGTAATATTTTAGTATGATCTAGAAGACTATGGTATCTATCGTCAAAAAAATAATCATAAAAATTGTCGAAATTTTTTTTTTAAAAACTTTATTACAAGAAAACGGCCCGGCCGATCTCTACCAAAAACTAATCAGCACGATTCCCAACCAATATCTTTCGAACGGTTTTTGAATTTTCAAAATCGATTCAGAATTGCGGGCTAAAACGTAGACAAAAAATTTTTCACTTTTCTGCCATTTATAAAGAAACGGCTTGGCCGATCGTCGCACAAAACTGACAAACAATAGTTCTCGTCGAGATACATCGAATGGCTTTTAAATTTTTGAAATCGACCCAGCCGTTTTCGAGAAAACGTCGATTTACGGCAAAAAATCTGTTGGTGCACACGCACACACACACATACACACACACACACACACACACACACACATACTTTTTCCAAATTTGGTCTCATTCGATTCAGAATGGCTTGAAACGTCGAGAAAACATAAAATTAGCGAATCGGATTTTTTGATGAAAACATAAACTTCTCCTTCGGGAAGTTAATAAGGATACTATTTTTGGCGGACAACCCCGGAGCACCGATTTTTCGATTTGAATTACTCAAAAAGCATTCGATTCCCATTGATGAACAGACTGATAGAGGTAAATTGGTTTTCAAGTAGACTTGTAGGTGAGCAGGTGGATACATAGACAGGCAATCAGATGGACAAGTAGACAGGTTAACAGGTTAACAGGTTAACAGGTTGGACAGTAAACAGGCAGCAAGGTAAAACTGTTGACAAGTAGCAGGTTGAAGAAGTTGGAGACAGGTGGAAAGGTAGACAAGTAGTTCATGTATAGTTTAAAACAATACATATTGAAATTCGCCTTACAATTAGTATTACTTTAAAATTTTGATTTTTTCAAATCAACTTACAGCTTGTTGCAGATCATTATAAGTGACATTTTTTACAATGTCCTTGCAGATTTCAAAATAATTTTTTAATTTTAACTTTAACATATCGGCTCGTTCCATACAAGCGATAGCATTAACGACCATATTATTTAAATCCATTTTTTTCACTTCGATCAATGCCCAAGATAAATATGCGCCGTAAGAAAGTAGGCAGTATATCGATCCCTAAAAGATATTTTGATAGGAGTATGAATTAGTTAAATTAGTTATGTTTAATCTTTGATCTAATTAACATACCTCGATAGGGAGATTTCTTTCAATGACGCCATTCCTGAAGACTTTAAATTCCTCTAAAAAATCATCCCATATATTTAAATAATTTATATTATATAAATAATGGAAAATGTAGATTTTTTTTAGAGAATTTATAATCTCAGGAAAATCTTTCTTGGCACATTTTGGATCCATTTGCTAGAAAGAAAAATTATTTCTGATCAAGAGATGAATTGTTTGACAACTTTCTACACATAACAAAAATGTAATTCGTACCCCATTCACAATACTTTGCCATGTAAGATATGGCTCCATATATACGAATGCGCATTTGTCTACAATGGTCTTAATGGCGGCATCGCAATCTGCAACAATACTTCTTGCCCTTTTAGAAAGGCAATACAAAGTATTGCTGCAGTTGTCCAGCACTATTGCGTCTGCAGAATCCTGGGCGATGACTTGCAGAGCGCCCAATAAATTCCTTAAATGCTGTAAACATAAAACACCAGATTAAAACTAGTAAGTATATATTAAAAAGTTAGAAAAACTACAAATGCAAGATGCATCAACATTCCCATATGCAATTAAAATTTCTGGTTAAAATATATACTCCTGCTGGTGGCAATTCAAGCACAAAGACAAGTAATCATTATAGGTATTCATAGGCACAAATATTAAAATACTAACCAGATCTTCCATGTCAATTGTATTATCAAAGTCAAAATATTGAGGAATTTTTATCAAATGAATAATACAATTGACATTGCCTTTGAAGCGAGCCAACAGAATCGCCATCACCGGCATTAGATGCCTTGTCATATTTAATTTGTCTTTTTTCATTTGTTTTCGTTTTATACTTGGGACCTGTAAATATGAAAAGTAATGAAATTTAGAAAATAAAAATAATGTTTAAACATATAATCAACACACTAGAAGAAGAAACAACTGGATGGTTTTACCCATTTGCATGTACTGACATTAAAACCAGGGCAGGGTACTTTTACTTGATCGGTTTAGATTTAGTTAATGTTGTACTTCTAATTGGACTTATAAATTATTGCCTTAAACGTTTGACGACTATCATGCTATAATATCACATCAACGAAACAGATGTGTAGTACTAAAAGCAACAAACTGATTCCCACAAAACTATTCCATTGGTCATGAGTTCATACACCGTCCAAAAATCCAAAAGAAATCAAATTGTCTGGGGACCAAGAGCGTTTTGTTTATTTAATTGACCAGGAGAGCAGCTGCATATCAATTAAGTAGAGTCCAGTACTTGTAATTATCGACCATATTCGGATTCGCTGCGAATATTGCTACTTGAGATCATTTCTGGAAAATGCTTATCTGTCCGCCCTCTTAAAGTCAGTACATTAAAATAGGTCAAGTTACCTCAGTTTTATATATGCATCATTGCAATGCAATATTACCATGTTATCAGTTGCTCTCTCCCCTGGATATTCACCAGTACTTGAAAGACTTGCAGCACACCAGAACATAATTTCAATTAAAATTTCCTGGGGTTGGGAGATTGGGGTCAAAGGTTCATCATTTTCTTTAGTTAAAATATGGATCATTGAATCCCAATCTTTCATTATCTCAGTGTTTGCAACTAGGGCAAACACTAGATAAGAAATAAAATTTAATCCCTGAAAAATAATAAAAATAAAGAATAAAGATTCAAAAAAATTATTTATACGAGATCCACATGACTATCATATATACATATTTTACTTACTTTCAATTCAATGATCGAAGTTGAAACATGCCTGAACCATCGAACCCCAAACCCGGCCCCATTTGAATCTTGATCCAATATTAAAAAGACATTATAAAAAAATGTTCCTGCTGCCACCGCAATCTTTCGATTCGGAGAGAACATCAAACTTGAAACCGTGTTCAAGTCCTTCCTGGTGAATAAGTACGGATAGGACGTGAATGGACAAAAATGGATAATTAATTAGCTAATAGTAATCGTAGAAGTCGGGTTAAGCAGTTGAAGTACAACTTTCGTAATGGGGAAATGCTAAAATATAATAAGCGGCAGTCATTGCAATACCCCAGAAAGGGGCTTCAACCCATAGCGTCAACCATTATATATACACATTTATATAATAAAAAATTATAAATTATAGATTTATAATAGCATTAAAAATATTTATAATATTTAAAAACAATCATATAATTAAAGTCATACTTCAATTATGACATGATCGGTTTGTCATTGTAATTATCATTTAGAAATGAACCTTCATTAGAGAAATGAAGATTAATAAATTGCTGATTAATAACTTCTATAATATTTGTTGAGACAGTGGATTATGTCAAACAACGCCTAAACAAATATTGTTTTTGCAACTTCACTCTTCAATTAGAATTAACATATTCATTTATTGCTTGTATTTTTTTACTTTTTCGCTGGCAATAAACTATTATTTTTTGAACAGCTGTAATATAAGATTGCTACTACCGTTGGGTGTTTACTGGGTTATCACCATCAAAAGTTTCATGCATATGTCTATTAAGTGAACATTTTTATTCTCAACTCTCACCTGAACATGGCTGTGACGAGCTTTATTGCAATCTCCTGATTGCATCCGCTCTTATCCCAAGATAATCTAAGAATTCTTTGTTGGTATTTGTGAGTGAACAATTTTAATTTTCTGGATAATTTTACGTCCTCATATAACGGGAGCAAGGTTTTCAAAACGCTTGCCCGTACTGATGCAGTCTGTGAAGATATAGAAAAAATCATTATTAGTAACTGCCTGAGGAGATTTTTATGTTCTCTTGACATTTCAAGATCGGCCTTTTCAAGAATCCTGAAGAAGGAATAAAACTGGATTGGACCCGTTCTGTTCTAAAGAGTGCCTTCTGCACGACGTCGTGGATGGTAAAATAGAAGGGCTGAAGGGATTGGTAAAGAGAAAATACAGGGTACTGAAAACCGAAGTGCAGGATCAGGAAGCATGGATGAAAGACTACCATTTATTTATTATATATATATATACCTTGTCATAAACGAAAAATGCAAAAAGTCGCAAAAAGTCGCAAAGTCCATTCATTTAAGAATAGTCCCGGGTGTTTTCTTATCAAGCGGCCCAATTCTCGTATGCTCACACGTCTTGTGACAGGTGCGATATCTCTGTAAATAAACTGATGTTAAAAAATATTCTTTAACTTATGCGGTTCAAGGAATTATGGTAGGTGTAACAGCTATTCCTGGTGACATTTTGTTTTATATGGCAAAATGATTGATCTAGTGGTAATATCAAAAAACCAAACCGAGCTGCAAAACATGATGGACAGAATCGTCGAAATGGGTAGAAGATATGGAACGGAAATCAACATCAACAAATTGGAAGTGATGAGAGTATCAAAACGAGATGATACTCTGAAGATAACAGTAGAAAATCAAAAATTGGAGCACGAGAAAGATCAGGACAAAGATCGCAAGCGCCAAGGTGGAGTTTGCGAAGTTGAGAACACTAGTGAGAACCAACCAAGTCTCGACTTGTGGATGATATTGATAAAAAAAAATGTTATGTCTAGAGCATAGCTCTTTACTATTAATATTTACTATTACTATTTGGAGAGTTTTAAAATGTGGTGCGCAGGAGACAGGTGATTGGAGAAAATAAAGTGGACTGACAAGATAACAAAAGAATAAGTCCATAAAAGACTCGACTGAGAACGATCATGAAAAGAAAAGGAAAAAACTGAATAGGACCCATTCAATTCAATCAAAAAAAGAGTGCCTCCTACACGACGTGCTCCAAGAATACATAATCCTGAACATATGCTTATTTAAGACATGATATGTTAAAGTAGGAGTCTACAAACAAAACTTAGCTGTGTTATCCGAGAATTGGCCCATAAATGTCAAAATATCTTACTTGATGCGTTTATAAATTAAATGCCTGTATAGGGACTCGATGCACAATTCAAGTTCCCTATACTTTTCATTTAATTTATTTTTTTCAGATTGAAGGAATGCGGCTCAGATCACGCCTCGTCGTCTCCTTCGCTTCTTCGGCCCGAATTAGCTCCGACCGAGCACCGATTTATGTCGGAAGCCGCTTGTTCCAGTAATCCTGCCAACTCTGTATTTATCGACCAGCCTGAATAGATATATAAAAATCAGTTAATCAAATGGTAATTTTAAAATATTTGTTCAACTCTTTTGCCAATGTATTCATTTTTAATGTCTAGTGATGTTTAACCCTCCGTCGGTCGGCGTGGTCCGGCCAGACTTTTTTCGACTTCAATTAACAAAAAAAAAAAAAAAATACTTCTAGTAATCCTATCGACTCGAAATTTCTTGACTTTTCCTAAAATTTCATTAGCTGTCGATCAATAAAAAATCAGGACGAAAAACTGTACAGAAGGATAATTATAAGGATATTAACTTTTTTATACTTCGAACGGTCGGAAAGGTCTGTCTAGACCACCCATACATTTTGTATGAAATATACGCTTTTTGATTTATGTAAACCAGTATTTTATCTTTTTTTCATGGTATTTTCTATTCAAACTGCGTTGTATATATTCTTTGCTATGTGTTGTAGCATGAATGTTAGTATTTTCATGACGAGAGTTCCTTAAAAACCTACCAAACTTATTGGTAATCGCAAACAATGAAAATCGGATGAGTAATGCACACATTATAAAAAATTTTTACCCGTACTGCGTTCGAAATTTTTTTGTTTGCCAAACCTGTAGTGAAATTATATTTTCACTTCGAGTTTTACAGCTCATTTCAAAGACGACGAATTTGAAAATGATTCGTTTTCTTTTGAATTTCACATTCATTTCAAAGGCGCAGAAAAAAAATAAATATTGTTTTTCATTGATATAAAACAGAAAAATTAACAAAAAAAACAACGATTTTTTTATATTTCTTGATTTTTTTATATAATATAATATGTAATATTTTTATTATAAGCAAGCTCAACACATGCAAAAGACTTACCGTAAAAAGAAAAAATCTAAACTATAAATATTTACTACTAATAATCGTTAATATATAAGACACCAAAAACTCATTTATCCCATATAAATGCATGTAAAATGAATGGTGGTCCAGCCAGACCTTTCCGACCGTTCGAAGGTGAAAAAATATCCGACCGACGGAGGGTTAAATGTAACTTAAAAATTTTTAATATGTACAAAAATGTCTAGATATACATACATAAATGTATATGTCGCCTACTGGCAAGGGTTAAAAATGTACAAAAATTTAAGAAAAATATCTACAAATGGCTACATATTTTTGCAATTGTCTAGAAATGTGTGAAATATATAGATGTCTAAAAATATCTAAAATCCATAGGAGAGTCTACGTATAAAAATCATTCTCACGAATACAATTTACCTGCCAATGTTGCCGTATATCTTATATTTTTCTGACCCAATCTTGACAAATATTTCAAGATTGAGGTCAGATTTTTCATAAAAAACCATCATAAATTATTTCTCCACCCGTCTTTATTATACTTTTGAAGAACTGGCTAAAATCAACAGTAAGTTTTTTATTTTGGAGAGTAGAGAAGGAAATCCTTCATCTTCCTACAAAAAAAAACAATAAAAATAATAGAAGTGATACTCTGCAAAAGAAGTGAAACTTCGTAATGTGAAAATGAGATTGCAATGCTTTTGGGCAGTCAAGTTGCAAGACCTTCAAAGAGTATGCAACACTTTCAGATAGTCTACAATGTTGTAATAAATATTCTAAAAATTATGAAATAATCCATAACATTCGAAAAACATTTTACATTCTAAAAAAAATCTGAAACAATCTTCAACATTCCTAA